CCCACCCAGCCCCTGCCTTGCAGCTTGGCACCCTCCTCCGTGTGGGAGTGCCTGTCGCTAGCACAGCCGCCAGCCTAGGGGCACCTACTGTCTTCTTCTGGGTGTCAGGTTGTAGGGTTTGGCCTTTTGACCACTAAATAGCGGTGTCTTTATTTTTATTTTAGCCGCACAGCACCAGGGAAAAGAGGTAATTGGATTAGATTGATGGTCTTCCTTCTGGGATTCCGCAAAGCCCACAGACGCCTCTTTAATATGATAGAATATCGGGTCGTTTCCACGACGCATCTTCCGAAGGCGCTTTTTTTCCCGCACAAAGGCCCGGGAGCCCATCACCGTGCGCCGCGCTGGGCGGCGGCTCCCGGCCGCGCTCAAGAACGGTGAAGGGGGCACCGGGAAGCTGTGCTTAAGAAGGCAAGTGCTTCTGCAGGGCAGGGAGCCGCGCTCTGCCCAGACCCCCCTTCTGTAAACACAAAGAAAGGGGGCCTGGGGAATAGAAACCCAAATCCACTTGTAATCGTACAAGGGAATCGGGCGTAATTACTCGAGCAGCCTTGATGAAGATTGATGAGGCTTTAACGCGGCGTTTCGGATCGATCACCCTGCCCTGCGGAGCCTGCAGTGGGGCTTCCCCGGCCCGGCCCAGCTCGGCTCGGCTCCTTCCTCACCGCCAAGGGAGGGAGGGAAGATGGAGGCGAGACAAGGGGGAGCAGCAAAGCGAGCCCGGCGCGTGTGATTCTGATCAGCTGACTAGGGTCAAGAGGCTACCCCGGTTTATTAGGAGATGGAAAACAATAAAATGAAAGAAAATAGAGTTTGTATCAATATTATCCAGCCTGCCACGCTGGGCTGCTGAAAGCTGTCACTGAAACTACACACTTTAGCTTCCCCTTTTATATACGGTAACCCGTGCCTTCTGCTTTATTTATTTTGCAGAATAAATGACAAAACACTGTGCAATATGGGCTCAAATTGGGTGTTACAGTAAAGTAAAATATTAACAACATGACAGTTAGATGCGCTGATATAGGACTAATTTGGTTTAAGTGAGTAATTGGAAGTGTTGCTTACAGGATCTGGTAGTAAAGGGTGTGGGATACTGGGAGAGGAGGAAAGGTTGCATCCATGCCCTTGGTCTGGGTGCCAAGTGTGGCCCAGGGCTCACCTTCACTGTGCCGGGCTCCCCGAGCATGGAGAGCCGTCATCCCCAGAGAGAGGGGTGCCCGGGGCCTGCAGGCCCTCCCTGCAAGATCTTTATGGCACAGGAGAATTCAACTGCACAAACCAAGCAAACCCGTTTTAGCATTCACTGGGATAATCAGTTTGCCAGTTTCTAAAAGGTGCTTCAGTCATGTCTGTAGCTTCTCAGTACTGAGGCTTTATTATTTGTACATGAGATGTGTGTGTGTGCCTGCACATGGATATGTGTGTTTATATATGTGTATACAAATTACCCTGCACACTTCAGTGGTTAAATCTTTAAAAGTGGTTTATATTCAATCTTTTAATTAGAGCAAATGAGTTTCCTATACATGGACACTGTTACCTTTAACAGTAGATTGCATTTATATCGAAGACAAGATGGTGAAAAAAAAAAAAAAAAAGGATCCCCTGTTCTCTTTTGCATTAAAGCAGAAGTTTTTTTCTCTGAATTAAAACCTAACAATTTGTGCAGAGAAAGCTGCCTTTTATAATAGGTTTTCCCAGCCCCATCTTTTCAGTGCCCGTGTAAGCATCTCGATATGGAATATATTTGAGCATAATATTGTTACCGTAATTTTAAGAGGATTAAGTGGCAGCAAGCTGAAATAAAAATGATGTTGCCGTAAATATATTTAACGATGCCTTTGGTATGGAAGTAGGTAAAAACCCCACAATTTTTCGCCATGCTTTTGGCGTTGAACTCTGGACCCAGAGTTAATAATAATGTCCCCAGGCTCCGCAGGACCGGTGTGGTGGGCAGGGGCTGCGGGCCGGGGACTGCTCTGCAGCCCGCTCGCCACGGCCCGAATCCATCGCTTTCAGGTCGAAGCTGGATGTAACGAGTTGCCGCTATTGCACATAAACAGCGGTAGTGTTAACGAGGAGCAAAGGGGCATGAAAAGAGAAGGGACCTACTTCTAAGAGGCAGCTATTTTTCACTCTGACTCCTCTGAATTTCGCTACTGGCTGATTTATCTCGCAACCCCGGAGCTCACAAACTCGCCTCTGTCCTGACCGCGGAGTTCAAAGCACTGACCGCGGCCAGGAGGGGAATGGACACGGAGGTTTACAAACGGAGTTTATGAGGGGGCTCGCCGGGCACTGGCTTGGCGGAGGGGAGGGGAAGGGCCACCGGGAATGGGCCGGCCGGGCGCCTCCAGCCTGACCCTCGCTTTGCCTTTCAGGCCCTGTGGTCCTCAGCACGCCGGCACAGCTCATCGCCCCCGTGGTGGTGGCCAAGGGGACGCTGTCCATCACCACCACGGAAATCTATTTCGAGGTGGACGAGGATGACCCGGCCTTCAAGAAGATCGACCCCAAGGTGAGTGCGGCCGGCTCGGGCCCCCTCCTCATCTTCATCTTCATCACCATCCCCGGTCCTGGTCCCCGCACACGTGGGCCGGGGCTGCCCTTCCCCCCGCTCCAAACTCCCGTCTGCCGCCTCTCGCTGAGTTTTATTTAAAGGGAAAAAAAAAAAAAAAAAAAGCGCAATGTATTAATGATGTTAAATCCTCTGTTACTCAGCGTGCGCGTTTTCCAACGGCCTTTCGCTCGGTGCCTTTGTATGAACGTGGTCAGATTTAGCAGTTAAGCCAATTGCTCTGAAATCCCTGGAGAGAACAGCAGCCCCAGCCCCAGCCCCAGTCCCAGCCCTCAGCCTTTCCGAGGCACAGCGGAGGGGTTTTTGCCCTTCCGAGGATATCGTAGAATCCCGTTATTTCAAGAACGTTAGTTTCCGTGTAAGAAAATACTGCGCATTTTGTAAACACTCTGACTGCTGAAATGCAAGTTCATGCTGATTTGGGGGGGAGGGGGGTGCGAAAGAAGGAAAAGGAAAAGGGAAATAGGCATGTGCCCAAGACTTGATTCCTGGGAAAGCTCTGGGTTTTTTCTTAAGTCATTTACTACTACCAGTTCTCCAGCGCCTCCTCCCCCCTCCGCGGAAGCCTCCAGCCCAGCCGCCGCAGAGCAGGGGTGCGTGACTGGAGCGGAAACCTTTCCGTGGCTTCCTCCCGCGGGCGCGGAGCGGGGGCTGCCCCCGGGGGGGGGGGTGGGTCAGGGGGTGCGGAAGGGCCGTCTGTTACAGGGTCTTTTTTAGCCTTATCGCTGTTACTGCACTGGGAAATGTTAGAAGAGAAAAAAATGGGGAGGTGCCTAGGGTTTGTTTGGGTTTTGGTTTTCCTGCAGAAATATAAATAATTTCCAAGAAAATTCTAGCGACCTCGTCTGAATATGTTTATAATATGGCGATTTCTCTTTTGCGAATAATTTCTCAAACTCGGAACTTTCTTTGCGGTGCTGGGGAAAAACAACAGCTGTCAGAATCACTTTGGGATAACGGTTTCGTTAGGGAAATATTTCCCACTGGAAACAGTTGCTAGTGGGTGTTACACAGGCGATCGGCCTCTTTCAGCACTTGTTGACTGTCAGGGTACTAAACCGATTCCTCGTTGATTCTGCGTTTTGATTTTAAGGAAAGTCATAGTAAAAAGGACCAGGCGCTGCGGTACGGAGAGGCGATGTTGGATCGCTTGCAGTTCTGTAGCCACACACACATGTTATTCCCTCCGAATGCCCTGGGAGCGCAGGGGCTTGATTTCTAGGAGTGCAACTGGCAATCTTACCACATTCATAACGGATTTGTACGTGAGAAGTAATATTGTTGTTCACTTTATTGGTGCCGGCTTGAACCTTTCACCTATAAATTTTATTTTCTTCTTTATTACTACTTGCGCAAAAACATGAGTTTTATCAGATTCACTGCTTGGCTTACTCGGTACACTGGCTACTGAAAGGATACGTTGTGTTTCCTCAGCTTTGCTCAGCACCGAGCAGAAACACATCAGTGCCATATAGTAAACCTTTCGAAAGCAGATTTATTTTCTGACGGCTGAAAAAGTGTTACTGCAGGAATAACAACATCGGTGTCTGACAGATGCTGATGGTCATGTGGAGCTAAATTCTTCTAAATTCTGTTGTGTCTGGAGCACCAGTATTTCCCTGTTCTATAAAACTATTAAAAATGCAAAAATCAGGCGTCTGCCCCCAAGTTTGCAGCTTTACAGGGTTTAAGTAACTACAAACAGGAAGGCAAAATTTACAAAACATAGCTGCCTCTGGTTTTTCAACTAGAAAACTTGATCCGGTATTGAAACGCTTACCCGTATACATTTTACTTCATTTATTAGCTTGTACTTAAATAAATCAGCAACAGAAATTAAAATCTAAATCACAAAAGGTAATTTTCCAGTGTATTTCAAGTGCATTTTCAAATATATAACTCCAATATTCAAGCGTTATTATATAAGCAGAATCCAAATTTCTTTTGAATATATTTAAATAACATTTCAAGTATATTTATGGAATGTTAGAAATAGAACAAGCAATATATATGAAACAAAAAATGTAAACTTGTAAATTCAGACACTTTCAAAGACGATTAACAAAAGTACCATGATAAAATCTACCTTTTTAAATGGTATCTTCTCTTTAGCAGAAAATGTCCTTGAAGTATCCAAAATGGCAATTTTACTTCTGTTCACCAAATCACAAAACACCAACATCCACAATTTCAAAGACAATGTGAGATCACAATATCTGATACAAATCAAAGGTACATTAGGGTTTGTTCAGGTGGCATATCCAAATAGCTTTTACTCACAGAGGGTTTACATAAAAATACTGGGGTTTATTATAATCCGTTGGTACCGTTTCTAGGCTGAATGATCACAATCAAGTTAAATTACGGCCAATTTTCTTTTCTAGGTAACACACTTTTTTATCATTACTGTTTTCCTTCTTTTTTTTTTTTTTCTTTTCTTTTTCTTTCACGGGGAACTGCAAAATTGTGACCAAGATAAGAGAGGAACGATATTTGCTGTTGTTATTCATTTTTCTTTGTGAAGAGCCTAAGCTATATTCCTTTTTGAAAGAGAACATTATTTGTATTGTCAAATGGAAACGTTTCACTTTTCGAACAGGCAGGTTAAACTTCATCGGGAAAAAAGCAAATTTGTCGTTAGGGCCGGTTTTATAGTTACTCTCTAAAGTTTCTCCAAACTTTTCGGGTTGGTAAGTATTTCCCTAGCCAGTCGCCACGTTTGTTTTGCCGCGTTTTCCAGGGCTGAGTGAGGTTTGCCCTGAAAGAGGTCTAAATTGGGCAAGAAGTAATGCGGGCACCTCCTGCACTGGAGGCAGGAGATGAGCTGCAGTAAAATCCCGTTGAGCCTGTCGCCCAGGCACGACTCGTCCCAGTCCGATTCGCGGGGATGCTTTTCGCACTCGTAGGAAACCAGAGTCTTCATGTGATAATTATTCAGGGGCTGGCCCGGCAGCTCCAGGTGACGGTCCCGTAAGGTTTTGAGGATAGAGAGGCATTTCTTCCTGCAGCCGCCCATCTGCAGTCTATTCTCGGCTTCCGCGAACTGCAGCACCCAGGCATCGCTCTCGGCCGAGCTTTGCTTGCCGGCCAGAGAGTGGCACTCCTTGGACAAGAGGTTGAAGCCTTCCGCCTTGACCTCAGCCACCCTGTTGGGTCCCGGCCAGGGGATGTGGGGGAGCGGCCAGTGGGCAGCGCTCCGAGGCCAGATCCCCGTGCACTTGAACGCCGGAGTGATCTGCACCACGTACCGATCCCTGATCCTCAGCTTCACTTCGCTGGTGTCTGCCACCATCTTTACCACGTCTCTGTAACTGCACTTATCCACGGCTTGAGCCACCAGAGTCTGAAATCTGGACCGGATTTTGCGAGCGGAGAGGTAGCCAGACGCCGTGATGAACTCCACCCAGAGGGACATACTCCTCTTTCGCCCGTCGCTTAACTTTAACACAGCGCAGCCCGGCAAGGAGCCGTCGTCCACGAAGTTGAACACCCCCATTTGGTTCAGGTACAGCACGACTTCAAACTCCGTGGGGGAGATAACTTCCAAGCCCTCGTAGCGATTGTCCATCTCGTTCAAGGAACTGATGAATCGAGGCTCCTGCACCTCCACCTCCTTCAGCACGTCCGACACCACTTTGCAGACTTCTCGGATTGTTTTGGCAATGGCAGCTTTCCTGGCTTGGCATTTCTCGTTGTAGTATTTATTCAAGTGATATACCAGCTTGGCCTGGGCCGCGATCATGTTGGGGCAGAGATCCGGGTTGTATACCGGAGTCTCGCAATAGGCTGTGGGATCCAATGCGGCTGCTAAGGCTGGAGCCAACTTCAGAGGAATAACAGGCTGCCGCACTCTGAAATGTAACAAATGTTTTTCAAAATGCGCCGGGGCTGCTGCTCCTCAGATGCTCTCTTCCTGCTTTTTTAGATCAGCCGTCTTGAAGTGTGTGTGGCGGGGAGGGGGGGTTGGGGGGCGGGGGACTGAAGGGGGAGATATTTTTCCTCCCCCTTTTTTTAAAGGGTCCGTAAGTGAGAGGAAAGCATAGAGAGCTGCACCTTCCCCCGCAGCAAGAAAAACAAAAGTTGCACTGAGGTACAGTGAGGCTTCCAGTAGTCAAAATAATAAAACCTCTTCGTATTTATTTATGTTTTCCCGTAGTAATCACTGTGTGTATGCAGGGTGGCTAATCAGATGGTGGGGGGGGGGGGGAAGTGCCGTGTGTGTGTGTATATGTCAGAAGAAGCTGGCTGTTGGTTTGTATAAGAGCCCAGATGCACTCGTGTGGAAATTATAAAGGCAGGGCCAGGCAGGCGGGCGGCCAATCGCCACTGGGCTCGTCACTGCAGCCTCTTTCAGCTCAAACCCGGCTAATTAATCCCTCTCTCGGAGATAGATATGTATACACACAGACGCACACAGGCACATATAAAGAGGTAGGAGGTTACTGGTTGAAAAACCTCCCCGATCATCTCTGCGCTCGGAAACCGGGAGAAATCGCTCTCCTTGGGGTGTAACGTGCAGGGTATTGAGGTTTCGAAGGGAGTCGGCAATAGGGTGCCGCTCCGCAGTGAGCCCGCCGTGCCTCCCTCTGCCGCGGCGCGGGTGCAGGTGTATTCTCGGGCATCCCCCACCTCGGGAGCCACACACCGGGCTCGCTCCTGCGGGAGCGGAGACGTAAGGTCATTAACTCACACTTGGCAGCACATCACGCTGTCCTTTCCTCCTGATAGTTGCCTCTAACTGCAAAAGAGAAGTTCTTGGGGTTTTTTTTCCTCTCGTGAATTGCCAGTGAACAAGGCAGCAGATTCACGGCAAATTTAGTGTCCTTTGGAATAAAGTATCACGCAAAAATCCTCGATTTGTATTGTTGTAAAAGATCTGCTGACGGGCTCTAATCGATTTTGAGGCTTGATGCATTTTGGCATTGTTTCTGCCTGGCTTTTTGTGTTTGTACCTTGCAAGGGAGAATCAATCGCTAAACTTATCTGTCAGGTCTTTTTCACATTTCCTCCAGAAATGAGGTAGCAGATATGAACGGTAAATCTCATCTGCCAGTTCTTAGCTTTGTTTTTATATTCCGATTAGCGCTTCGATATATTGTGAAGAGTGGATGCTCAGCTGCTTTTTGAGGCGCCACTATAAGTATCTATTAATTTCAAACACGGACGATTTATCGTATAGCGAGCTCTGCTAGCAAGCTGCGTTTAGTAAATGTGCACACGGGAGGCATGCTAGCGACTGCATACATGCTGGCATGCTACTAATCTGGCAGTTTGGGGTTTCGTGTGTGTGATGCGTAATTAGCAAATTTTGCCTTCAGTACTTTAAGTGTTAGGAACCGGGACCTTTATTTGGAAATAAGGTGGAGTGGCAAAGTCTTATGCTTTGCAGCATTTACCGAGCTTTACTTAAAAAGAATCCTTAACTATAAATGTATGTGTGTGTTATACACAGGAGCAAAGCTTTTAATCGCTTGGAATCTTGAATCCACTGCCCGATTACTAATTCTTAAAGTCACTGTCACAGGCATATATAAGGAGAAGTCATACCGCAAAGAACATTTCACATTTATTCACCGTATTAATGAGACCAACTTATTGGACATGGAGGAGATTTTCTGATTTTGTGCTTGGTTCGCTCGGTCTGGCGTTTATACGGGTGCTCCCCGTGCCGCTTCCCAGGAGGAAGCTGATGGGGGAATAATTTTCTGTCCATTCGTGAAACAGGGCTGGGGCTGTCTTGGGGCGCCACGCTGAAGAACTGCAGGTGACAGCTCGTCCCGAAGCAGCTTTTCCACTCCCCGGCCACAGCCCCTCTTGCCGACGGCGGAGAGGCGGCCGCTTTCTGGCTATTCGGGCGAAGAGGAGCTGGTTTCCTGCCAGCTCTTCTCCCTCCTCCGGGTAGTTTCCCGGCCAGGCGGCGCGACACACGTGGCTCGCCCCGGCCGCGGCGGAGCCGCCGGCAGTGGAGATACACCGCGCTGCTCCCGGCGCCTTCCGAGCCACCGTCCGGAACCCGGTTTACCCCGCTCTCCCCGAGCAGGCACTTACGGGGCTCCTGGCTGGGTCGGAGGGGATAGCCCGACACCCCTCCGCCGCCGCCGTCCCCCCGCTGTTCTTACCGACGGCTGCCCCCGGGTGCACGGGGAACCTGACGCGACGGGGTTGGGGACCGGCCATCGCACCCTTCCCCGGCAGACGGCTCGGTGGCACCGCCGCAGGCCCCGTCGGCGGGCGGGGAGGGGGAGGCACCAAGCCGGCTCCGCACATCCCGCCCTACTGCCCCCGCCGATGGGGCTCAGACGACCCCTCCTTCCCCCGCCCGCCCCTCGGGGCCGAGGACGATGCCGGTCGCGCCTTGCCTTCAGATGAGGGTGCGATGTTCGTCGGAGCAGGGCAAGGCCGGGATGTGCGGAGGAAGGAAAAACTGCGAAGTTGGGGTCTGACTCTGGCGGGCGGGTCCCGGGGACCTCACGAGCGGGGTTTGCCGGCGGCGGTGCTGGCCGGGGCCCTGGTTGCTGCCCTGGTGCGGCGGCGGCCGCTCGGCCCCGGAGCCGGCCATCGCAAAATCTCCGGCCCGGCCTGGTCCGGGGCCGTTTCTTTGGTGTTTAAATAAGAAAGAGCGCCTTCTCCGCGAGGTTACATACCGCAGCGGTGTAAAAACGAAAGTTAGAGCGGTCGGAAAAAACGTTGTACCTCCGACCCATCTCCGCCGAGTGAACATCCCGTCCCTGCGACGGCCCCTGGGCTCCCCAGCCCTTCCCCAGCTCTTAGGCTCTCCATCCTGGCCTCAGCCCCTTGATTCCTCAGTCCCTCGGTTGCCCATCCTCTCACCAAAAGCATGGTGCCCCAGCCCTCTCTATCTCCTCGTCTCTTCATCCCTTCCTCATCCCCTCGACTCCCCATCCCTCCCCGGCCCGGCCCGGCCCCTCGGCCGCACCGGCGCTGCAAGCAGGGGATGGCAGCATTTCGTCGAAGTTTTGTTTATTTTTGCCCTGTGGTTTTAGCTCGGTGCTAAAGTTGCTGCAGGCAAAAGGCGGCAGGTCGTACCTTTAAGATGTCAGAAGGCTTAATTTTCATAATGTGGCAAAAATAATTTAAATTAAAATTATGTCATATCCTAAGTCAGAGCTTTCAGTGTATAATGCAAAGATTAACCTACGGTATCAAGTAATGCAGGTTATATGTATTTACTGTATCTTGGTGGCTATGGGAAACACTAGCTTTAGTTTTGGCTGGGCGGTGTGTAGCAGAGAAGGTTGCTATTAACTTCACTGTGCCGTTTCATTTCACATGTACACAATAAACTTTTGATAGTTTGGAGATTTGTGGATTTAAGCATCGCTGTCACGAGTCAACCACTGAAATGTGACTGCTTAGGTGACTCAATCGTTTAACATGACAAGAAATCGGTGACTTGGTTTAGATTCTGAAAATTACTACGTTTGACTAAATATGACAAAAATATGAATATTTTCGAAGCTTCTGACCACTTACTGCAGTTGGTTTGTCTCTGTAGTTATTAATACATCCTTCATAAATTACTAAAGGAAAGAACGCCTTTTCATCACTGAGTTCTATTTTTATATGTATTGAATTGTTTTGGAAAATTTGGATTAAAATCACCTCATTAAAATTAGGATTGATCATTTGTCATGATAATGGTACAATATGATATGGGTGACTTTTACCAAATTACTGTTTTCTAGATACTTACCCCTAATTAGGGGTACTATAACAGTAGTTGTGGAACTCTGCTTGTTAGTTCCCATCTTTCAAGCTGCAGTGCCTTGTCAGATAGTGCTCATGTTAGCCAAAAAGCCAAACGATGTTGAAAATCTTTGACTGCAGGTACTCGCCCACGCCCCTCAAATGGGATTTGAAAATGAAAGAGAAGAAAAAAAGAAGAACATTGCCATATATAAATTTCACCAATAATTTAATATGGTGAAAAGTGGAGTTAAAATGCACATGCAGATGCATATACGCACGAAGTTCTTGCACTGATATCACTTTATATTTCTTATGATGGTGATGGTTATTCCACACACAACTGCTCATGAATTTTAAAGTTTTATTTTTTAATATCTGCCTATTGCACTAGGGAGCCAGGAAAAAAAATGAAGCTGAGTTGATTAAATTATTTATCCCTACTGGTGAAGTGAGTTTGAAGGCTCATTGAATGTATCTGATTTCTTGGTTCTTCTTTCTCCCCTTCCCTTCTGAATTCATACTGGTTATTTTATCTGTATTATCCTGCCAGCAACAATAAATTTAGTTTTTTCCAAGTAGGAAAACTAAAGGCATATATTTGTGCCTAGTTTGCTTTAGGTGTCACATTATATAAAAAAGGCAGCATCAATTTTTTATGATAGAAGTTGATGGTACCTGTGGTTTTCTGTATTCTTATTTTGTAGTTTCCTTTTTGCCTCCACATTCAAATTTAGAAGCAAATGAAAAGTTTAAATGCAAGTTGCTATAGTATTTCAAAAGTGCAATTTTAATAAATGTGTATACATTTCTGTATAATTTGGTATGCAAACATTTTTCTTCCTTTATCTACAATATTCTGCAAATGTTTTTTATTCTTTAAAAAAAAGGGATGTAGCTGCTTTTTACAGTACACAGTTACCATTCATTAGTGCTAAATACGTGCATGTATTATCTTCCAATTAAAAATAATACTAATAAAAATTATTTTTATATAACATGAAAATAGTTTGCAGTACTGTTGGACTTAGTCATCCGAGGCCTTTTGGATGAACTGTTAATGATTTAAATTCTTCTAATCTGCAATCTGTTAAGGAAAAAAAACAGTAATTGATTTGTTTTCTATAAAATGTTATGTCTCAAAAGTAAGCATGGAGGTTTCACAACTGTAATTTAGCTAGAATTGCAGAAACATTCAAGCAGGGGAAAAAATGCACTGAATTATTCATTTGGTTCACTTCTCCATCAGCTTCTCCAAAGCCAGACATTCCTTAAGGTACAGTGTTTTATTTAAGCAGTCAGCACTGGTTGTTTTTTTTTCTTTTTTTTTTTTTTTTTAAGATCTGCTTGGAGAATGCTCTTTTCTGCTGAACTGTGAGAGGAGTGTGGAATCAGTGGGGATTAGCACCTTTTAATCTACTACATCTGTAGTGGGTCATCCAACACTGCAGAACTCTCGTTACTCTCTTATGCTGTATATGATTAAATGACTGAAAATATTCAA